CCCCCCCCCCCCCCCCCCCCCCCGGGGCCTCTCACACACACGCACACACCGCGACCAAGATTGACACGTCGTCAAGGGGTGTTCCGTTATTTTCACAAGGAGGTCCCCTTAGGGTTAGCGCTCGTTCTTGTCTTCGTTTTAGCCTGCCCCAAGAAAATAAATACGGAAGCAGCTTACAGATAATGCACGGAAACAACTCCCTCTTCGCTGGTATCCATTCTTACCAGTACAATTTTTCGTTTGCTCGGTTGGGTCATGCTTGCTATCCGATCTGCAGCAGCCAGGCAGAAAGCCTTGGGAAGGAGGAGGCAGGGGCGGTAGGGGGCATCACTAGCGACGAGGCCAACAACTGGGGCATGGACGACAGCATTGACGTCAACGCGGTACGAGCAATATACCCCCGAAAGGAGTTACCGGCCTCGATGTCTACGTGTCGTCCTTCGCTTGTCCACTCCAAACATGCGACCAACGCCCGTCGTCTCAACAAGGGTGTTCCGTGAGCAATTTGTGCGCCAGCATCTGCATATGTCTAGCTCTCTGAGGCTTTTCTAGTCAAAGTATCAACAACATTTTCCGTATTTGGGGGAAAGGCCGATAGTATGCTACCCGTTTCGCGTCCTCATAACCTCTCTGCCTCGCCTGTAGAGGTTTGGCTCGCCAAACTGCGCACTGATTGTTGCAGCTTTGTAGGGGTTGGTGTGCCCAGCTTGAAGCAGTACCGTACGACTGCTGGTCTTCGCACTTACCGGAATCACGACACAGGGATGCGTTCACAGAAGGAAGGGCGTTTTTGAGTCCGATGATCGCATACTTATCAAGATCATGGGCACGGATTGCGGTAATCCCAGGGAAAGTCCCACTGCAGGCGTGAAGTTGAGCTCTGCCACGATCCCGGAGCATTTGCTGCGCTGCAACGAGTTTGGCCATGCTTGTAGGTCGCGTGTTCTTTATCACGGGCTTCAACCCTCGAACTTAGGCACCATGGTGGTCCACACGTAGAAGTGGGGATGATAAAACCCTCCGTACGTGGTATCCCAATCGAGGTGTCGGACATATTGGAGTTTCCATTGGTATGCCTTGAAAGCACCAGGTAAGCCTGCTGTGGTGTCATTCGGTGCCAAATCTGTTGGGCGGAGTGCGTTCAGTAGCAAAAGCACTGTCTTTTGTTCGATTGCCTTCGAGCGTATCTACAGACGGGCACAACCCCCGAGCCCCAAAGCTTCATTTTTTTCTCGAAAGTCACGAATGTCAACCGACGCAGAAAAAGGTTGCTTATCCTGATGGAGGGGCTGCTGCTTCGCCTCGCCATTCTCCTACTCTTAGCGTTTCGTTGGTGTCGTCAGGATCATCGCCATTTGTACCTGTGCCCTTCCATGGCAGATACGCATGAAGCTGATGGAGAAGGCGGGGTACACCAAGCGAGCGGACTCCGACGCCGGCGAGGAGTGGATCACGGTAGACGAGGACGGCACGGATGAAACCATGGACAGAATGAAAGACGCGGTCGCAGAGTGAGTGGTTTTTTTCGGGGTGGAGAAGAAGTTGGCAAGGGAAATAGTCCCAGTCGCGTTGACACTATGTAGCTGCTCAGCGTTTTGAAGAACACGTAATGGCATTCACATCGTTCGTGTGCAAATGCGCCCGACGACCGAGCACGAGTTTCTCACTGCGCATCATCCTTATTGGCCAGCGTTCATTTTACCCGTACCCCCCACCTGGCACAATGTACGCTTTTCTGAACTGTATGCTGGCATCGAGCCAATCATGTGGCATTGTCCGCTCTGTAGTTACTGGACTGTTCAAACACCTTGTGTGTCGGCAAGCGCGAGAAATTTTCATCTTGATGGCCCCTCCCGCCCCCCCTTACCCCACCAGGTCTCTCCGCAACGAATTGCTGGGACAAGATTCGTTGAATGAAGCCGACGCGTCCGCTCTTGTGGAAGAGGTCCTTCAAGACACGGACCTCGCCAAGTTCTTCGACGAAGAGTTCCAAGTTAGTACATGGATTTATCTTCATATGATCTCCGTCACTTTCGTCTCTGGGACGTGCTTTGAGTTTTCCGCTTCATATGCTACCGTTAACGAGTAGACAGAACAGATTGACGTACAATATATGTAATGGCCCATGCGTGCTGTTGGTCAACTACAAGGACCCATGTTATGAAATATATACACAAAGTGCCATCATTGTCAAATCACGTGTGCTGTTTTCGCGAAATTAGTCTTCCAGTCTTCCTCCAAATATAGTAATAGGACTAAGGAAAGCTCGAAGCGCCGGAAGAAATGTCGCCACAAGATGTTCAAGCGTCTGCCGGCCTGTTGCCTAGAGAGGAACTAGTTTGAGACAGAACGTTTGATGCATATCGGCCCCTCCCCTACCTAGAGAGATGGTGCGGGCCGAACCAGCGGATACTGCGTGGTTTGCCACATTCATGTGACTTCTTTTAGAACTGACACCACTTGCAGCAAGTGGTGTGGCTGGCGGTTCGCACCCACCCCCCATCTCTCCCGCCTGTTCGTAGATTCTGTTTGTTCCCATCAACCGCACGAAACAATATTTGATCCAGCGAACGAATTTATTATTCGCAGAAGGGAACCTCCGCATTGAGGGAGCTGGCGGAGGAGCTCAAGACAGACGAGGGAGCCGTTTCCTATGCTGACAGGATGGCTCAGGAGCTGGCCGAGCTGCTCCAGGCCGAAGAAGACAAGGCTGCCGCGGAGATCGAGAGGCGACAGGTTTGTGATGTTGCGGCAGCACTTGTGGCTCTTTTGTCCGGTTTTGCGGTTATGGTGTTGGGTAGGGCGTTCACTCTTTGTATTGTAGTGAAAGGCGAAAAGAAAAAGACTGGAGGGAATCGCATGGCGCAGGATAGACGACGCGACAAGTTTAATTTCCGCCGGGCGCTGGGAATGTTTCGTGTCATCACCGTTATGTGTCCAACATCGAGATGAAGCGCAAGAATTCGTAGGCGCGTCTATTTCGACGCGTTCCCATCAGTGGCTTTAGTACTGTTTTGACGGCTTGGACTCTTGCACGCCTTTCATGACTGCATCGGCAACAGGCACCGGTCAAGGCGAAGCTCGACAAGGCCACAGCCGAGCTGGAGGAAGCAGTGGCTGCCGCCGAGGAGGCGCGGCGAGAGTTCGAGGGGGATTTCGTGCTGCAGCTCATGAGCTTTCGCCAGAAGGGGGTGTTGCGGCAGGCCGCGTTCGTCGGTGCGGTTTTGATCGCAAATCAGGCGGTGTATCAGGCGATTTTGGTGGCGGATGACAGGGGAGGAAACCCTACGTTCGCCTTGGGGGGGCTGGCAGCGTCGGCTGCGCTGGTGTGGTATTACGGGTACAGACCACTCAAGCGTTAGATGGCCGTGCTGGTTTATGTTTACTTGTTGACCGTCGAATTCTTACAAGCGACTGCTGTTTTGCGACGATAGCAATCTTTTCGTGCGGCCCATGCTGGCGGAGAGGCGGCACTTCATTCTAGGCCGCGTTCTGGATATCGGGGGTACATACAAGAATCAGATCTCGCCAGAGGCGGCGAATTTCGTGTTCGTGTCGCTTAGACAAAAGCCCACGAGGGTTTCGACGCTATTTTCATAAATACTTAGTATGTCCGTATAGAGAGACGGTGGGACCCAGGTAGTGATAATGATGCGTGGAAAATCCGCGCAATCTTCTTACGCAGCAACAAAATATACAATGATTTTCTGGGGGTCGTGCGCTGACAGCAGTATGGGTTACCCACCGAGTGTTGCACTCAACGGGGAGTACATGTATACCAAGTGCTTCATATATTCTCGTAGGCAGGTCATGGCCCTGTTTTTCAGTCATGTTTTTGTAACCCGCATAACTCGGGGCGCTGTAAGCACAACGCCGTAGAACATCCGAGCGAATGCCCCAACGCGATCGCCCCTCCCATCGAGACAAAGCACATGATTGAGATATGCTAGAAATGCTTGCTGGCTAGCCGGAACCTTGTGAACGACTTGATGTTTGGTCTTCACGCAACACTTCACGTCTACTCATTCAAACAAGTTAGTCGTATCGCCTACCGGCGTGCACATCGGTACTCATCGCAACGTCTTCTCGAACACTATGTACATATCCTCGTATAACCATGAGCACTTCCCCCCTCCCCTCTCGATTTCTTCCTTCTCAAAGATGAAATCGCGTGGTCGACCGCATCTACGAATTGAGCCTTGAGCCATCGCAACTGAATCGATAGGCCTGTGGCCTACTCACCCACTCCCCTGTTGCATGAGGGCTATCAGAAGCACGGAGCAACAGATTTGCGTCTCTCCACGTTTACTAAATATCCCTTGCCAACAAAACCGTGTGTTGGACCCTGCTTTCCCCTTTCCCCCTCATGCCACCGTCAGATTGTAAAACAGAGGCACCACGCCCTCTGTCTCCATCTTTCTCTCTCCCTCTATCGATCTCTCTCTATCGTCACTGTCGCACATCCTTCGAGGGCGCCCTTCCTCATCGGGGCTCCGGGCTATCGGATGCAGGCAAATGTCTCAAACTCCGGGGATATGAACTCTAACAGAGACGGGTCGTGCTGCACGGACGCCAACCGCGGGCCAAAAACCTTCACCTGCACACATAGCAGGAGACAACGCAGCACGCCATTGGTCAGATGGAGGCACACGCAAAGATCACCTTCCTCTTGAGAAGAGTTCGGGGGATGTTAGAGCATAGAATGCGAACGGGTATTGCCTGGTGTATGCACGACACTTCCAGCATTTCTGCACCTTTCACCGATCAGGTTACGAAAGCCGTCTGGTTGCGGTTCTCCGATCACCCTTGGTTCCCTCAATCCAAGTCCGCTATGTAGGCCCTTCCTTTCACCTGTCTGATGTGTGTATCTCTGCCGTTTTGGTGCATGGCTACCACGCAAATCTGCACGAAGTGCGCGCGCAGGACAGGGCCCTCCGCACCACCGGCAGCATCCGCCGCGATTGCCGCTGCCCCACCGCCCCCTGGCGCAAACAGCGGTACTCTCACCCACCCAACGGGCTCGTGTAGTTCCTTGACCTGGGCGAGGTATGCGGCAATCGACGAACGGTGGGCGGGGAGGTAGGCGGGAGGGACAATAAAGGAGAGTTAGGGTCCCAACGGCTAAGGCTTCCACACAAAATGGAGAATGGGAACAGAAGAAGGCACAAACTTCTGAGGAGGGGTGCTGTCCCTTGCTAGCCTAGGGTACCCTTGCTGCACATGCGGTTATCAGACGCCTCGAGCCTAGTCATTGCGGAATTAAAGACGTCTTTCAAGCCAAGCCTGAAGAGGGCGTCGCCACTGTAGCACCGCGACAAACCGGTCAGAACGGCCGATGGGGGTACGTTGTCCACCTGCTCGTGACCAACCCGGTCTTGGACAATTTGATAATTGCAGCATGGCTACAATGCATTGGAAGCGCTTCACTCACCGTCACTTCGACGAGATCGTGAAAGCTACTGCCTGCCCGAATCGAGAGCTTTTTCGGCGTGTAACTCTGCATTCGGTAAGAGACACGGAGTGCACAAGCAGATGGGCCCGTCATGAGGTGATATTGTTCACCAAAGCATTACAGTAGTAGTCTGGACCTGATGAAACTGCTCACATCCTGCAAATGGGGAATGTCAGTCACAAGTGTTGTACAGCACCTTCCCATACTGTCAATCAGTAGAGGTACTTGTTAACTCTGATCAATACGGGATCCAGAGGGTAGCGCTACCATTGCCAGGGTTCACTCCGCTCACACTCGGTTCACAAGCACAGCGTTGGCGCCCACAAGCAAGAGCAACAGCAGCCCATCGGACGGTTTTCTTCATGTCTCACCTCGTCTGAACCAAAGTCAAGATAAAATGCTATCTCTACCACGGTCATCTTCTTGTGGAACTGGATGTTGATCAGGTGAGGTTGGCCCCCATCTGCGGCGGCGAGAGAGCGAGAGAGCGAGCGAGCGAGAGAGAGAGAGAGAGAGAAAGAGAGAGAGAGAGAGAGAGAGAGAGAGAGAGAGAGAGAGAGAGAGAGAGA